TTATGATACAGTTTATCCTCAGTATTATCACCTGTGTAACAAGCAAAACGAACCCAAACTTAGTCTCAACAGGTTCTTCATCGCATGTTCCAGTCGCGTCGGCATTGTTGCCCTCCTACCCTGAACAGTCACACGCCTTCCGCACAGCGGCACAACCGATACTGGCAAAACTAAGTAAACGAAACGAAATGAAACCCAGGAAAGATGACCTAGCAACTTGCTCATCCCAGTCGTAAAGCAACGCAGTCGACAAATAGCAAACATGGATTACTGTCGTCCTTTCCCACAAATAGTCAACACACAGGCCGTGCAGGGCGAATTACTGATTACCGTTTTAAGGACGGCAGCACTGACGTGTCCTGCGGCAGACTTCAATTCTTGAAAAATATGTTTCCTATATAGAAGCCTAGCTAAAAATTTGCTGGTAATTGCCGACAACTTTTAGATAAAATTGTCAGGCAGGCGCACACATATTCTGTACGCGTGACTAAGCCTTACCTGCGCAGTGGCATATATGTTCGTGTGTACGAGGAAGCTTTTACCGTTTATTTTTTAAGTTTTCGACGTCAAATCCCTGTACTGGCACTTCGATTGCATTATATATATATATATATACATGGTGCGCACCCCCCGACAAAGCGCTCTGTAGTGATATTACCACAGAGCGTTCTACTGGGGTGGGACCGTAACGGACTGGGGAGAGCCAACCAAGGCCGAAACCTATAACCTTACGTACAACTGAAATTGCAATAGCAGAAATCTATGTTCGTCTTGTATGGCTGGGAAAGAAAAGACTGCTTATTTTAGACAGGTAAAAACAAGCAGAACAGAAAAGGAACAAGGTGAACATGACATCGAACAGTAGAAATATTGCTTCTGATATTAAATTCTTGCTAGCGTGCATTACAAATAACAGGTCGACCTTGATTCAATAGCGGCTGTCGATTACACCGCCTCAATGCTCTGCGTAGGTATCTACATCTACAATAAACACGATTAGTTTTGTATAAGATCGTTTCAAAAATTCGGCGCACACACATAAAAACGCAATGTCGAAACGTCGTGTTCTGCTTAGAAAAGTTCATTGTTAATTTTTGACGTAGGATCATTTTAATAAACCACCAGATAATAAATGCTGTCCGTCCTGTCGTTCAAATATTCTTACATGCGTCTAACTATTTACTCATAATTAGAAGCACTCAATAATGAGTGCAGTATCGTAATTTGTTACAATCTACTTTGTTCCTTGATACAACTGGATGAGGACACAGCGCTTATGTTTTATATCTGCATCAAGCTATTTTTATAAATGTAGAAGCACAATCCGCGGCGCCAACTCGTCCTAGTGAACTAGGTTGGCTCAATTCAGCGGGACTGGCATTACGGCCACTGATTCGTTACTAAACAGTAGCTAATGGAGCCAAGGGATTTCAGCCTCAGCAACGACAGACGAGGAGGATACCCCCCCCCCCCCCCTCCTTCCTTCTCCAGACAAGAAGTAGCTGGTAAGGCGGATGGTTGCGTTTAGACCCTCTGTTCAAACGTCTTGAAGACATCAGTTGTGTTGCTTTGCTTGATCACTATGTTTTCTTCACATATCAACGCTCAAGGAGCCTACCTCAGCTGTTTAGAGCCGATGGTGGCGCAGCCTTCGTTGGGGGGCCAACGAGTCATTCGTTTAGAGAGGTCGACGAAAAAGACGAGAGCATGAGGATCGTCCGTTCATTATTGTATGTTCAACTCTCATTCACTTGGCCTCCGTTGCTTGGATTGTTGTCGTTGGTGGTGCCGCAGTCGCGGTAGCAGCCGCTCCTGTCACTATAGGATTCGCTTCTACCGCTACTGTTATCGTAAATAGGGGCAAAATCATTGAGGAAAAAATAAGAAGACATCTTACCGCAACACAACGCTACCATTGCAGGCAATTTAAGACGACGACTGCCACCGCCTTAAATTACTGCCGTCACCCTACCCTCTCTGAGCCACTGGCTGCTTGTTGTGGTCGACACTTAACACGTCGTTGACGCAATCGCCCAAGGCTCGAAAGTACGGGTGAAGGGGCTTTGCCACCCATTTGATGCCGAAAGAAAGCGGAAGGAAAGCCTCTTGTAAACGCCCTGGAAAAGGCTGCACGATACGGGAAACAGACAGCCTAGGCAACAGCGGCGAAGACGACCGTGACTGCGCAAAACAGGCCCACGACAAGGGAATAGATGTGGTTTTCTGAGAGGCGTGAGGCAGACGAGGTGTCACGAGGGAGCATAATGCGACCGACGACAATGATGTCATGCGTTTTTTTTTATTTTCCAAACAAGAAACCCCATGAGAACCGTATGTATGTATGTGAAAGCGAATTGGCTGAGACAAAATTGACGAAGGGGGAAAGCAATGCAGCGAGTAGTCGTCAGAGTAGTCGAGTGGCGGCCACGGGAGTAAAGTTAGTGTCACGTACTTTTCTCAGCAAGTGCTGGTACAGTCTAGTAGCAACAATGACGAAATCGACAACGATTAACTGAACGCAAACCGTAAGCAGAATTACGGTGGTAAAATTATGGTGGTAGCAGACAAAACAAATAGGACAATCATTGTTGATGCTGCTTTGCTTTTCTTGTCCTACCTTGGAGTGAGTCCTTTCAAAAAATTGTCTGTCATTATCTGACTGTGACCTTACGCCGCAGCTGCCGCGGTTGCCGTTGTAACTAACACACGTTATAAACATCGACAATGTCAAAAGCGTTTCGTCCGCTGATTGGCGATAGAGTTCATACACTTCATGTTTACTGGACCAAACGACGCTAACGGCGTCGAACGGACGACTGTCAAGTCTGCTCGTGTAAAGAGGAACTGGTGGGTGGGGCCTTCATTTGTCTTGTGATAAATATAATCACGGCTTTCAGGCGCTATTTGGATGCAAAACTTCCCTTGACCTAATCGCTCACGATTGCGAGCGACTGTGCCGCATACACAGAGATGGCGCTCAATGCGGCTGCACTGGCGGTGGTTATAAGCGCTACCTGTATCGTTAAGCGTTGTAAATCGCTACCTTTGGCCAATAAGGACACAGTATTATCTACTTCATCGGCCAACGAATTTTTCAGGTCTAAAGCAATCTAGCCGGCGTTTAATAACAACATTTGATTTTTCGTTGCTTTTAATTTATTGCCGATGCGGTGTAGCTATGTGTTGAAGATGAAACTGGCAGCCACGTTTTTGGTTTTTTCTAGACAAAGAAGTTGTTTTTCTCTTGCAATGTTCTATTATAAGACGCACTTTGTCCAGCTATGCTTGTCACTGGTTTTGTCATACATGGTCTGGTTCTTCTATCCTTTTTTGTTCCATGATATTTATTTTTTGTGGAAAAAAAATTAATAATTGAAAACCGCTAAAACTTTCGACTACGACTCGGAGCCTTCAGGAAGACTGTCTGCCGAGAGCAGGAAGGCCTTCCAGAAACAATACGTATTTGAATATTCCATGGCACATTGATCTCACCATGGAACAGTAGCTGGATTCACTAGATCAAAACTGGCATTGTCGAAAAAAGCTTATTATATCTGCGCAAAATTTGGACGTCCCATGTTGATTATGAGGTCATGACTGATGACTATACTACTTCTCTACATTGAATTGTTTTGAAATATACTGACAGCTAAAATTTACTTGGCGAATTGTCTGGCAGCAAGATCTAGGGTAGAATTGGCCTACGACCTCTCAACCTTAATGACCTCACATATAGGATGTTTTTTATCATAAAGCATTGCAATAAGCCCCTGGGCATATTTAAATTAATGGACTGGCGAAATAGGTTTTGATAATGGTTTACAAATCACTATTAAATCTGATACGTCTGTACAGTTGCTGTAGATGATTAAGCAAAGAAACACAGAATGACATAGAAAACGGTTAAAATTTTTGAGACCCATCTTCACCTTAAAGGCGATGTTCCATTCTACATTTAATATGGAAATGTTCGCGACTGGCACATTTTTTATTTTTAAATGTGTTACAGCTCAGGACTTTTATCTCTCAAAGGTATATTCGATGGTCTGTCTTGCCAAACTATTACCCAAATCCTTGGTTGATCTCACTCTTTCAGACCAAGTCAAGCTAAGAAATCTTAAGATATTGACGCTCGCCTGCGCTTTGTTGCCAGCTGGCACTAACAAAGTTTTTTTCGCTAGCTCCGTTTCTCTACCGGAACAGCATATACGGCGTTGTACATTAGTTACTCTCTAAATAGCAACACGTGTTTGACTATGTGTTTCAAGTGTATACATGTCCACCTAGTTCAATCCAAAACAAATTTCAGAATCAGCAAAAATGTTGACTTTTATAATGAACAGATCTAAAAGACTGCCGCAAATGGTAAACTACCGTCAGGCAGCAAAGTTAAGTTTTGCGGACTAACAGGATTTTATTTGTGTGTGAAAACGCGTATTCCGCGAAACGTTAGGCTCGTTAGCCCTAAGAATATTCTCGTAGTCTTTTTTGTTTATCTAAGTGACTGCAATATGAAAAATGGAGTACTCGCTACTGGGAGGACGCAGGTTCGATTCCGAGCTAAGACACGAGGACCCAAAGTTTTTGAGTTCCCATTTCCAATTCGGCTGAGGTTTCTCCTCAAATGTTTAAATTCGGAAGTGTTTTCTCTCCCTTTCTTGTACTAAAATTTACTATCGAGTTTAATGCTTATACCTTTCGCAGTCTCGTAGAAGATAACAGAGTTCCTTTATATGCATTATAACTTTTACACTGAGGCGGCCTCTTACGGCCTATGTTGTAACACGATAGATGTTATTGTCTTCTTACGCCTTTGCCAACGCGCTGTGATCGCCAGTCGTATCTTGGCCTGCCAGGGATATAAAGCATATTGACTCTCACCCACATTCTGCCGTTACATCATTTTTTGACCGTCAGATGTACCGATTGAATTAGTCACTGCTATTACATTTTAAATCTTGTTGCAGGCTTGGACAGCATTGATATTGTATTTTCCAGTTTATTTTTTTCAAATCTGCCCGCGCTTATTTGCTATGTACACGTGTGCTGACTTGTGATGCAATTTATTGCCGCTCTATTATCAGCTAAATGTGCCTCAGGCAACAACGTTTTAAATATTCCAGCACTTGCTTCTGTGAGGGATCCAGGCCACGTAAATCCAGCTGCCACCGACCGAATGAAACCTCGCTACTAAATAGAGCGCTCAAAAATCGTGAGTGCAGCCCGACATTCGGAAGCTCCGTTAGCTTTCTTCGCCAAGGTTTTTCGTATTGTTTTTTCTTGTGATATATTTTTTTTTGTCAAGTTGTTTGCGGTACTCATGAAATGTTTACTTTTCCCCAAGCTATCACTGTTTATTTCGTTAGTATTTCTTTTTTTGCTATGTTTTTGTATCAAAACATTATATATCTCTTGTAGCATGTTCCGGTGCTATAAGAAAAAATAAATTACGCTGAATGATACCGTTTGGCAATTATCCGTTATTATCTTGTGTTAATTTCTACCTAAAACTGTGCAACGAACCATTCCGACAGCCATGGCCGCCTTCACTAACGCACTCTGATAAAGAAAATTATATATAATCACCTTCGCTTTCTCAGTCGCTTGCTGCCTTTCCTCAAGTCAAATCGTGCCGCTCAAATTGTTAATAGATATCAAGTGGATTTTTACGATTGGTAAAACAGAACTATATGGATATTTAGAAGTTTATAAGTATAAACCGTCAAAAGTTAACGAAGCCTAAAGTGTAGAAAGATCGCATAGGCAGATGTTCGAAAAACCTACGGTCAATTATAAAAGCAACATATGCGTGGATTGAGCTACGAAGCCCCTGGTTTTGACTAAAATAATTCATTTAAAAAGCATCGAAAAATAAGTGAGGTTAGATAGAAAAAGGTGAAATAGAAACACCAAATATGTTATTAAAAACGTAGCAATGCGTGATCCGTCGAGCTCAACGGAACATTTTTACATGCTTTAAAGATAGGAAAACGTTGAATTTATGTGGAGTCGGAAAACCATCTTCAACTATATAGCCTATACAGCTAGCTATACACCTAATACTACACTGTATAGGCGAAGGCAGTTCTGCATTTTTTGCCCCCTGTTCCTAGTTGGCCAAGTGCTACTTTAACAATTGTCTCTCCTTCCTATATGTACACTTGCTGACACACACTTAATAGGACTACAAAGGCCGTACGATTGTGCATACACATCGTGTCTACTACAGCCACTACTAGATACTGGGTCGCCCTGTAACTGGTTGGTCAGTACAGTTCTAATAACTATCAAGCTACCGCCCCCGCGGTTTCAACTATATGACTGATAATCGAACAAACTTTAAATTATTCGACACAATTATCCCAACAAACTTGCGCAACACGAGACGTCGACCGAGTCAACTTTCCGGGTTCTGATCCCCTGAGCCGCGGGAAGCGCCTACAACAGCGCCTGCGTGGACGAACACAAGGGCAATGAGACATATATTTTTGGCTACAAAGCCTACTCTAGTCCCGAACGCTCATACCTGATGTTAATTATTGCTTAACATGATGACAATTGCGTTATCGCAGCAATATCCCATTCACAACGAGCGCCTGTTTATGTCTCGGCTGTCATAAGTTAGATATAAGATCCTGGTCATGAAAGTTCATGCATGCTTCATCGTACACTGCCACAATGCCTTGAAGATCTTTGTAGCCTGAAGACTAGTAATCATAATTAGGATGAAATACAACAGTACGTGATACCGGACAATCAGACCTGCACGAAGTTCGAGCCAAGAACGAAGTGTTTTTCGTTACCACTGATCGATGTAACGATTACGCAGTACATCATGTTTCATTGTAATTTAGCAAAGAAGAAGCTGCTGTCCGGTAAAATATAGCTACGGTGACCGGCCCTTAGACACAGTAACCTTAATATGCTCTATATATATATATATATATATATAATTTGCTGAAATTATTATCTGTGCGTTGTGTTTTCGCTGCCGTCCGAATCACGACCCAAAGTAGGGCGTCTGCATTGCTGAAAATTAATACTTTGATAAATACAAGCGTAAAATGATACGAGTACGTTTTTTTGTTCTTTTCTCTTTGTCAGCTTACAAATCTATCTCGTTTCGGTTTGTTGCTTGTACACTAGGTTTGGTTCGCCGTTTCTACATAATTCTGTTAAAGTTTTTATTTTCTTCATTTAACACTAAATTTTATAAATATTTACCTAGCATCAAAAAGTAGTAGAACAGAACCTATTTTCAGCATTTTTTTGCGATGTTCTCGCATACGGCCTTATTTTTCTCGTAATATTTAATTTCGGCTTTAGTCCTTTGGACCACTTTGCAGTTGACAGGTCTCTTATATTTTGTTATCGGCCTTGTCATTGTTATCAGTGCCGTCTCCGTCGAACAGTCCATAGCTGCTTCAGCCGTTGTCAGCACCTTCTTCCACGAGCGAATAGGACTTCACACCCGGTGAAGAATTGAGTCTCATTCTCCTGCTACAGCTGCCGTACGCTATTGCCGGTGTTACGCTTGTTACGTCCTCGCCGTACCTTGTATCTTTGTTCCATTTCGATAACCAATACGAGTACTGCTGGATACAGCAAACCCATAGGTCCAGTCTGTTTATTTATCTATGTTTCATTCTATCTCCTTGTGTAAGTTTGCATTTCAAGGCATCAACAGCCTGGAAAGGGATAAAAAAGGGTGGAGCCAGGCTGTTGGAGGTAGGCAGCAGACAGACGGGGGACAGGTAAGCAGAGCTAACTGTTCTATGCAAAATGGCACCGTTGCCAATTCGTCGTTTGCGTCTCGTCCGTATTTTGACCGGGTGCTGTGAGCGTCGGTAGGGGCGTATCGTCGTTTCAAAAGTGAAAGTGCCAAGCGGCTCAGGGGCAGGGAACCGGCCACAGACGGCAGGTGGGACACTTGCTTGCTTAAAACCTGGAAAGGAAGCAAAGGTTTGAGGTGCTCGAGTGCTTTTTAAGTTTCCTGTCCCTTGCTTGGCACTCACAAAGTCGAAAGCGTTTTCGCGTAGGAACTTTACATGTCTAAGGGTATAAAACTCGGCACAAATAGCGACAGAAGAACTAGACAGATCTGGCCGTCTGATGAGCGCCTTTTGCAGTGAGATCCCAGAGGTCGCATTATGCATGCAACGTATCTACGTTAGTATCTAATGTTTTAGGCGATGCAACTGAAAATGAAATAAGTGTCCGGAGGTGTATAAATACAGGCGACATAGGAAAATACTTAGGCAATTTCGATACCATGATAATAAATGCTTTAATACACAATGTTTATCTTCTGGATAGGATTATGATCGATGAACCTTTAGTCATAGGATAATGGATACAAGCAGTGAGTCCTGAACGCATTTTACAGAACGTACGCCTCACAACTCCGTCTGCGGCGACAGCTCGTGATCTTGTTTTCTACATAGAAAGAGTGCTACCATAGCGAGACATGAACGACAAACACGTCCCATTCGCTACTTCATTCATAGCAGGCTCTCCGGATTAACGGAAATTTAGCTGCGCTGTATATTGTACCACGCGGCTATAATACCTCAATTTTAGGAAATGCGAAGTACACTACATATTGATCTTACCTTCAGTGCATGCACATTGCATACCCCACAAAAACCAAACGCAGTCCATAGAGGTTCGTTCAACCCTCTTACTATACAAGCACTATAATATATTTACGCTATTGGATTCCTAGGAAGCGGGCGTCGGTGCCACTCCCGTCATGACGATCCAACATATAGTGCGCTGAAGTGTATGCTATACGTGTATATATGTCCCAGAGAATCGCACAGAAGACCTCGTGCACATCGACAGTCAAGTAGTCTAATTATTTTCGAGGGTGCTCGACGGTTCGGCTATATTCACCAACGCCCACCTGCAAAAGGACCTACTAGCTACCTGGTTCTACTGCCTTATTGGCCAGTTGGCTTATGGAGCAAAACTCAAGGGTTGTTACCTTGCTATCTACTACATATCCACTCACGTTGATTTCTCTTCGTAGTACTGAAGTATGAAGACGAATCAATACCGAATAGATAGCAGATCAAGCGTCAGACCGGCAACAAAGACCCTTCAGCGTACGCCAATGGCCGACGTTTCGATTAAATAGATGCGTATTTGTCGGCAGATAGGGGTTACATATTGCTTGAGGCCGATTCGATATCGCTGTTCTTCATGACATTGACTGAATGCCAACTAAATACAGATATAACACCCTCGAGTAAGACACTTTGATGTAAGAACATGGCCACTTGCTCGTTGGAAAAAAAAGGCCTAAAAACAATTATCCTTCGTGGGGGGATCCTTCAATGAGAACATTCTACTAGTATCGAAGAAATAATATACGTCTAACTGGTTCACTTGCTATGCTAAATTATAAAGTGTAGCACACGTAAGGGTTAATATTATTTAAGCGTGCAGACAAAACGTCAGTAGTAACATATCAAAGACACAATCAATGGCTATTGTTTAGTTTATTGTTGTTGTTATTGTCAGTATTCGCAGCTAGAGGCCAGTTATCACAGAAGTGGCCTCTCGGCCTGATTAAGGGCGTCGGTGAGCCGTACATACTTGAGGGCTACAGCTAAAACAGTAGTTCATATTGTGTAACGAAATCTATTAGCAGTGCCTGTCTGCCTGTTGGTTGTATATAGAACACCGTTAACTTGAACCGAGGCGTCAACCTATGAGTTTTCTCAACTTATTGAAAGCTGGTCTAATAATAGTAAGTCTAGTAATTGTCGTGTTGGCATTGCCAAATTACCAACTACATTATTAGAGATAGAAAAACTTGAATATATCGCTCGTAGAATTCCACAAAGCTTGACCTATCAATTCATCCTAATGTTACATGCAGTCCATACAATGAAGGTGGGGCATTTAGTCATGATTCTTGCGCCAGCACTGTTCTTTGATGCATTGCTGAGAAAGGCTATGTGCTCAAAGAGATGTCACTTACAGAGCGTTGCAGAGAGCAACGAACGACGCGATTATTGAACCCTTACAATGGCACACGAATACCAACCTATATTTGGGCGCATTGTTATTTAGATAAAAATCGTGCAACGTTCTAGCTATCTTTTGGAAACAATGAGGAGTCATATATATGACATATACCTGCTAATTAAGGTTTTGCGATACTTTCAACCACTTCTACCAGTTTTATATAAGCGACGACAGCGG